GCCGGGCGCGGACTCCGCCGAGAGCCTCACGGCAGCCTGGTGCACGCGGGCTCGCAGCCCTCTCACTTTCCCCATGTTTCTGGGAGAGACCCACAGTGGACCGGAAGCCGCAGGGCGCACGAGACGGAGCCTGCAAGAAGATGCCCGGGCGGAAACTGGAGCCCAGTCAGCTGGGTTCCGATATCCTCCCGGCAGTGGCTGCGCAGCCTCTCGGAAGGGGCGGGGCCGAGAATGGGTGTGGCCGCGGAGGGGCGGGGCCTTGTGTCCTAGTCCCGCCCGGTCCCCGCCCCCGGGAACGCCCCGCCTCCCAGGCGGATGCGGTCTAATTGCTGGAATCCAGGCAGCCTCATTGTGATTTGGGCGTGATGAATATGGAGCTGGATGGAGCACGCTTGTTGAAAACACACGAGTGTGTTCACCGCACGGCACTTGTGCCTTTCATACAGCCTCTGAGGGAGAAAACGAATCAGAGGACTCGGTGGGGCCCGCATATTATGAGAAGTGGTGACCTGTCTACAAGGGGAGATCTGAGACTGAATGAATATGGTTGAATCTAAGAGGAGCCCCAATAACCCTTGCCTGAGCGAGACCATTTGTTTTATTAACTGTGACTGACCTTCGTGTCCATCTTTTTTTTACAGCATTTCATTTACTCCTCAAAACAATTCCTGGAAATGGGGTGTAACTCGTCTGTTTAAACTGGAAACTACATGGTAGACGAACTTGTTGCAACACACACAAGTCACATGCTAGGAAACTCCTCGACCAGGCCCTGAGTGAGCCCTGCAGTTCACTTTCAGTCTCCTGTGCATTCAGCCCTGAAGGGGAACAAGCTGGTGTGAGTGTGACTTTCATCCTCAAAGAGCCCCTTGTTCTGTTAGGTCCACACGGGAGTCCAGGCTCAGCCAGGAGAGAGGACACACCTCCCCCTCCCCACACAAGGGAGGCCTTGGTGCCAGCACACAGGATTGCACCCTGTTTAAGAGCCCAGCCGAAACTCAATACAGAACATGGGCTTCGGAGAGGAATAGTCGGCCCCACACAAAGCCCCCAAAAAGGATGAAAAGGTGCTTGCCCTGGTGTGTGGTCCCCCCACTGCAGGGAAGTCAATGCTCTGTTTCAGTTGTTAACGGTCTGTTCAGGGTGTGCAGGACCTGACCTGTGCAGTTCTAGAAGGTCCAACATGGATGGGGACGTTTGTAGATGACGAAGGCCCCTGGATACACCAGGCTGAACATACAGGAGCAAAGTCACAGCATGGATCCAAGCTGAGGCCAGAGGGAAGTGTCCCTGGAAGAGCTTGAGGAGCCAGCGCCTGGGTGGGCCATCCCGCTCCTCTGTCAGTGCTCCTGGCTGTCAGTGCTTTCCAGGCTCCAGGGCACCTTCCCAGCACCTCCCAGACCAGGGGCTTGAAAGGAGAGCCCAGCCTTCTTTGGCTGAACCTCCAGCTGGGCCGAGAGCTAGACTGGAGGAACCTCCGGGAAGTGAGAGCTTTGGCCAGCCAGTGGGCTTTCTGGAGTGTGGAGAAGCCCATGCCCACCCCAAGTCGGGTCCCCACCCATCCCATGGAACCTCTGACTTCTTTAAGGGGGTGTCATCAGATGTGAAAGAGGCCTAGTTCCAACCAGTTATCTGAAGAAACATCTCGAGTCCCCAGCTGTGCCACGATAGAACCAGAATGCAGAGGTCATTTCTGCTCATGAAAGTCACGCAGGGGTGAGCTACGGGCATAGCACCCAGACTCAGAGACAAAGCCCAGCGGATCGAGGACTGCCAGCTTGGCACACCTCGCAGGGACACTAGGGGACACCCCAGAAGCAGCTCCATCGGCCCAGCATTGCTGACCTGACCTTTAACACACCCTGCATCCAACCAGCCTCATTTCCTGAGTTGTCCAAGGCAGGGAGACCCCAGCTTGGCTCCTGGAAGGTGACACAGTCCCCAGCCTGACCCAGGCAGTGATGTAGACACCTAAGCAGCTCCAGAGGCCTGCAGGCAGCTCAGTTTCAGGCTCTCCTTTTTGCTCCCCTGTGCAACCCATGCTGTCTGGGTAAGGGGAAACGAATGTGAACTGCTCCAAAATGGATCTGTCAAAAACCCTGGGGCCCCTGATTCCCTGTCTTCTCTCTCATCTCTATTGTGACCACCTGTCCAGGGCACTCCATGCCAGAAGGGTACCCAGGCCATGATCTCCCCGGAAAGGAACCCCTGACTTTGGCCTCCAAGGGAAGCCCCCTCCCCCAACCCACACCCCTCAGCGGTTCTGCCCTTCCAGGCGCTCAGCCCCATCTTGATCTGCCCAAGGCTTCAGTCTCCCGGCCTTGGTGGTCCCTTGTTCCAACGCCTGGCTGGGGCCATGCGAGGTAATTCTTTTTTCTCTCTGGTTCAATTTTTTGTCGCCGGAGGGCGCTCACGGACCAAGGAAGGCACACTCTGCTATTCTGCAGAGGTGAGGGCAAGGGCTCAGATTCAGGGGTGCCCGGAGGATCCCAGTT